TGATATGGTTGGATCGAGAAAAAGACGATAACTTTTAATTCTTCTTATATTTTAGTTTAAACACATATTTTGAGCAGTACAACGCAAGTGACAGATGGAATGATGGATGCGTAGGAATGAAGATCATATCCTAAGGACGGTGTTGACATATGAGTGTGGATGGTTATAAGGGTAGAGGAAAACCGAAAAAGAGATGGTTGGACTGTGTAAAAGATGATATGGTGAGAAACAGAGATGAATGGAAGAGAAAAACATATTACGACGACCACAAATAAATGGGATAAGGAAGAATCAGATGATGAACGCAAGTGACAGAGATGAGAGACATGGAAGAGAAAAACATCATTACTTAGGAGCCGATCCCAAAACAACAAAGGAGATAAAAAATAATGGAAGAAACATTATCATCTGCCCATTATAACCACACAGTCCACATCTCATTTGTAAACACCTTCATATGTAACTTAAAATATTATCCTCGTTCCTACGCATTACATGTCCATACCATGATAGACGATTACTCTTCAACCTCTCTGACACCGGCGCCACTTTCATACTTCCTCTAATGTATTCATTCTTTATCTTATCCATTCTTTACCCAGGCACGTTGACCCCATAAAATGTTAAAAGTTATTGCATCCACTGAAGCATTGTGCGCGTTTCAGTTCTGGCAGCCGCGTGGGTGCAGACAACCGAAAACAGTATATTAGAGTGCGGTTGTTTAGCACGTCGGAAGAATGCTCGGCGAATTTACAGTGCACTGGAATTCTTTGTGACAACTGCGGTCGGCCTCGGTGGTTTAGTGGTTTAGCCTTACTTACGATGGTCGCGGGTTCAATTATAATTTCATGAGTATGATTGTTTGTATCGGTTTGGGTGTTTTCTATGTATATTATGTATGTATTTACGAAAAATATATGTATTTATATCAGTCATCATATATAACACAGGCTTTAGCTAGATTAACTTGGGTCTAGATGGCTCTATATGTAAAAAATACTGCTGTTTTCTTATGTAATTATATATTAATATATTAATTATATATTCTTATTTATTAAATGGGGCTTTTATGGGAATGGGTATAAAATTTACAATAAGATACTCAAAGATATACTGAAATTACTTAACAAGCTGATGTTTAGAAAAAGTTAATGGGTCTTTTATGAGAATGGGTATAAAATTTACAATAAGATACTCAATGATATACTGATATTACTTTTAAATAGATTTTGCTTAGTAATCCGATAATAATGTTGTTTATTTGATTTAAAGACCATGCAATGTGAACCTAATGTGTCGCTAGTTTACAGAAAATAATATTTTTTATAAGGTATTTTAAATATATATAATATTTTAAACAATGATAATAATAATGTCTCAGAACAATTCATACAGCGCCATCTAGTTTAGTCCCAAGCTAAGCAGAGCTTGTGTTATGGGTACAACACAACTGATACAAATACATGGATACATTTTTGTAAATACATACATAATGTACATAGAAAACATCTAAACAGATACGAACAATCATACTCGTGAATACATGTTTGACCTTGAGAGGAATCAAACCCGCGACCATTGGAAGTAAGACTGTGCTAAACCGCAAGACCACCGAGGCTGTCAAAAAGAAAATATACATAGTCACCAAAATTTCACCATAACATTATGGCAGTATGTTTTAGTATGTCCCACAGTAGTTGTATGGTATCTAAATCATGGAGTTGGCGCCTCCACGACGGTCGCAATTGCCAAATTTTTGATTAATACAACCATGAGGAAAGCATGGAATTCTTTATGTATTACCATAAAATAAGAGTTACTGTGAACGCCGCAATGCATGACATTTTGTTCCTTAGAATGTGTTTCTAAGCAACTAAATGTTTTATGTTATAATATTAATATTAACACAAACACAATACATAGATAGATCACAGATAGATAAATTCCGGGTGAATGGGAAATAGAAATAATCTTCATTCAAATAAACTCAATATAAGCATTTTTGAATAGTCATATTTTTTATACTCGCACTCATTCGGAATCCAAACTCGTCACATGAAGAACGAGCAAGAAACTTACGTATTGTCTGGTCTTTTAAATAGAAGTTGTTCTAAATAAATACACATTAACAAGGATCTAATCCTTGCAACAATGAACATATATAGAAACCACTATGCACTCAATCTTTGTTCAATCAAATACGATTGTCAGCGCTATGAATTTTGATTTTTGAAGTTAGATTTTTCTATAAAAAATTTGTTTAGTCTCGATGGCCCCAGTGACGTTCCCTCATGCTCATCTTATCATGTTCCACTGGTGCCCCGCCGCCAAATCATTAACGCAGAAGAGTGACACCCCCCCCCTGACCAGCATAAATCATTAACGCAGAAAGGTACATAATTCCCCCCCCCCCCCTTTCTTCCGGTCGAACTAAGACAGTCTGCCAAATCGTCGAGATCCTCCTTTATTGATTAAGTAACACATTTATTAGACACGATGGATCAAGTGACCTGACAGTTCATCCATATCAGTATCATCCTCCATTGCTGCCTGATAAATCCAGCATAAATCATTAACGCAGAAAGGTACATAATTCCATTAAAAAATTCCTTATTACCAACAATTATCTCCCCTTCAGTCGAAGTAAGGCAGTCTGATAAATCGTCGAGTTCCTCCTTTATTGATTAAGTAAATGATCACAGATTTGTTAGTCACGACGGGACAAGTGACCTGACCTTGATGTTCATCTTATCATCCTCCACTGGTGCCCCGCCAACGTAAATCATTAACGCAGAAAGGTACATAATTCCATTAAAAATTCCCTATTACCAACAATTATCTCCCTCTTCAGTCGAAGTAGGGCAGTCTGATAAATCGTCGAGGTTCTTCCTGTATTGATTAAGTAAATGATAGATTTGTAGTCACGATGGGATAAGTGATGTGACCTCATGCTCCACTGGTGCCCGCCAGCATAAATCATTAACGCAGAAAGGTACATAATTCCATTAAAAATTCCCTATTACTAACAATTATCTCCCTTTTCAGTCGAAGTAAGGCAGTCTGATAAATCGTCGAGTTCCTCCTTTATTGATAAGTAAATGGTCACAGATTATTTGATCTGATTATTTCATGTCACGATGGGACAAGTGATGTGACCTCATGTTCATCTTATCATCCTCCACTGGTGCCCCGCCAGCGTAAGCCGTTAGCACAGAAGAGTGTATCATTCCATTAAAAATTCCTATTACCAACAATTATATGCTGTCGCCTATCAAAGTAAGGCACTCTGCTAAATCATCGTGGTTCTCCTTTATTGAAATTGATCGAAGATTATTAGTTACGACGGGACTAGTGTGTTCATCTTATCATCCTCCACTGCTGCCTGGCCAGCATAAATCATTAGCGCAGAAAACTGCATAATTCCATTAAAAATTCCTTATTACCAACAATTATCTCCCACCACCTGTCAAAGTAAGTGTGGTACATCGTCGAGATCCTCCTTTATTGATTAAGTAAATGATCACCGATTTTTCCAATTTAGACGAGGCAAAGCAATATCCATTTGGGTGGGTAATAGACATTCTGGACCCAAATTGGGGTCACCGGCGTGCCCCAGGGATTTATCCCGGCCCGGCTATTAGTCCCGGCGATTAACACAATCGTTGACATTACTTGTTTTCCCAATTAAACTCATTTGGGAGAGATTTAAAATCAGTGACAGCTGTGGATGTAATTGTCTTATCATTAAGATTCAATCATTGTTAAGGTTGATGACCTCTGATCTAGTGGTTTAGTACGTCTAGCCTTACGTCCCGCGGGTTTGATTCCTCTCATTGAGATTGTACCTACTTATATCAGCGACAGCTGACTCAGCTCCTATAGCTAACTTTGTATGTTATTTTTTTATTACCTATTGTGTGTATTATTTGTATATTATATTGTTTTAAGTTGGCAATTCAAATTCGAATTCAAAATATATATATGTAGGTATATTACAGACTCTTATGATATGTTAAATCTACCGTCAGTTCGGAATGATTTCGAGATGAGAAGAACTGACAAGAAACTAAAAAATACATATTCAGACATACTTGAATCTCTTTTTTTGAAGTCTGTTAAATATAGTATATGGAACGACCCCAGAGTGACCCCGACGCCACCTAAAGTACATAAACACAGTAGATCAAGCCCCCACTAAATAAATCAGCCGGCTGCGTCCGCATGTTAGTTTTTTTTTTAAGAGTAATGGCCTGAAAACCAGCGCTCAAGAAACAAGCAACAACCTCAATGAGGGTCACGTACAGGTGCCCTGATATCAGCAACAGCTGAGGCATTCTCTATAGCCAATTTTATATGTTATTTTTTTATTTCCTATTTTGTGTATTATTTGCATTAAGTTGGCAATAAATTAATTGTCTGTCTATAAAAGATTTAGACGTACTTAAGAATCTCTTTTTTTGAAGTCTGTTAAATATAGTATATGGAACGACCCCAGAGTGACCCCGACGCCACCTAAAGTACATAAACACAGTAGATCAAGCCCCCACTAAATAAATCAGCCGGCTGCGTCTAACCGGCCGGGCCGGGCCGGGCGGTCGACCACTCTTACCGTCGCTCGTTTAATTAATCCACCTACTTTCAATTTACCATTATACACTATGTTTGTTTTTAGTTTTAACTAGCTGTACTCGCGATTTCGTCCGCGTGGAAGTTAACTTTAAATTTCTAAAATAAAAGTAGCCTAAGTTACTCCTTATTACATCAGCTACCTGCCAAAAAAGTCCCGTCAAAATCGGTCCAGCCATTTCAGAGATTAGCCGGAACAAACAGACAGACAGACAAATTGTAAAATATGTTATTTTGGTGTATGTATCGGATTTATATTCATAGGCATGTAGTAAAAAATGGTTATTTCAGTATTACAAACAGACACTCCAATTTTGTTTATATGTATAGATTATTGTTATGTATAATAATATATATTCCTTCTATTGTTTCAGCCTGAAAGATTGAATGTGTTCAAAAATGACCAAGACAGCTGGGACTACACACGTAAGTAATTCCTATCATATACATATGTATATATATGTATATATATATATATATATATCGCAACTCAACTCAAATGCTGTCACAACTAAAAAAAAATCTTACATTTGAGTTTGATAATATTGATACAAAAAAAATTACTTTAAAAAAAGACCTAACGAAATTTGTACTATAGTACAGACATAAATTAGTGTAATTTACAATTAAATATTCTTTATTGCACTTAAATAAATTTTTTAGATATGTTAATTATAACTAATGTATAACAATTTAACATACTAGCGAGAAATGTGTTTTAAAATCCTACCTTCATTTTGCTCTCTTCTCAATCTAATCTGTGTATATAAAAATGAAATCATCACAATCATCATCATCTCGGCCCGAAAGACGTCCACTGCTGGACATAGGCCTCCCCCAAAGATCTACACGGCGATTGGTCCTGCGCTTCTCGCATCCATCGCCTTCCAGCTTCCTTCCAAAAATGCTATTAAAACTCGAGAACGAAATTTGGCTAATTCTAGTCTTGAAGTATTCGTGAAAATACAGGAAAGGTTTATACGGCGATAAAATATGAAGAAATTGCATGTAAAATAGTAAAAACAACAATTTTATTTTCCCATACCAACTGTCAAACAGGGTGTGTTCAGATATTTGTAGACTCACAGCTAGTATGTTTATATATTCAAAATTTAAATGTATCAATACTTGGGCGAAACAGCCAATAGGTTTTGACATTATTAGAGTGGAGTTCCGATGTATGGTTATAGATTTGTTATGTGACGCAAGAATCATTGTTTTTTAACACGTTCAAGACCGCATGCCCATCGGTGGGGCACTACGCAACGAAAGTAAAACACGTTGGGACCTGGTGATCACCCGTGGGCACTTTAATTCTAATAAATCTATGACAGATTCCCAATTTTTTTGAGTCGTAGACCCCTTGCCATTTCACCCCAAATTCTTACCTTTTATTGGTTTTTTGTAAATTTCTAACTGTACTACAGTTAGTAAGTTTAGTGTTAAAAACATAAAGTAAAAACAACAAGATGATCGCTGTCGTAGACCCTTTGTAGTTTGTCATAGACCACTGGGGGTCGATATAGACCAGTTTGGGAATCACTAATGTCCCCTAGATTAAATAATGTCTACCTCAAATTATTGTACACTAAAAAAAGCCGGTCTCTAAGTGAGAAATAAGAATTTTCAATGCGGTCTACAACGTGTTAAAATCTAAACTCTACGTACGATACGATACGTGTATAAATATGATAGGCTTTTAATCTCCAGGAGCCAAAAACTGTGGTTTCCATTAAGAATCTCGTAAAAGTCTGTATATAGTAACTTTATACTGAACTGAACGGTAGAGGAAAATTATTAATACTAAAAAGTTGACGTTCCTTAGCGGCTAAAATGTCCTACTTGAATAAATCATTTTAGGTTTGATTTGAGGTGTTATTTCCTAGGAAAGATATATTTATTATTACTAACCATTTTAAAATTGTAAAGTAGGAGGTGATTTCTTTGAAAAAAAAAATATTCTTGCGTCACATATATATATAATATAACAATATATAAATGATAATATGTGATTATTTCCTTAACTAATCTTTTTATTATTATACTATAATTTAAAAAAAAAACTTACTTGTTTATCTTTGAATTACTCTATAGGTAAGTCATAAGGTGGATTTACACTAAACTACCGCTGGTACCATTTACTCCGTTAGTCTAAGTCCGCCTTTAAATTGCATGTATTTATTAACACAACGATTTTAAATTACAATGAAATACATAACAGAACTCAAAACTTTACAAAATGTCTTTACATACTGAATTCTCTCATATGATTAACTAAGTAGTGTCATTAAGTAAACAACTTTGCATATTCGGCTAGTCATAATACACAATTTAGATATTTTGCAAAATCACAATTAGAGTGGTTTTTTAAACTTTCGTGAGACCCAGTTAATAATATAAGTAATAAACAACTAGAGTGAATTACGAGTTAAAATCTGGCCGATACAATCTTCGTGTATCATATTATATATCTGACTGACTCCATCATCATCATCTGCTTCTTCTTATCCATTTATTTGGGGTCGACGTAATATGTTTTTCTCTTCCATTCACCCCTGTTCGCAAGTCATCTCGTTATATATATCTGATTGACTCTAGTGAACGTAATAGCAATGTTAAACCAAAAATTAATCCGAGAGACAGTAGGTACGCCACCTGCGGCTTTGGATTCGAATACCATATACAGAAATGTGGACATGTCAAATGTTGCGTGCACCACAACATCGACAATTGACAATACCTCTGACAACTCCATCGTGAATTGTAGTCGTGATGGTATATTTGTAATTACAGTTGAATTACAGGCACTGTAACAAATAAAATAGTTAGATAATAAGATTAAACTTAATAAGACAGTGTAAATTAAGGTGGACATATTTTGCAAAAACCCGAAAACCACGTAGTGAAGAAGTGCCTTCCCATGACTGCAATAAAAAAAAGAGAACAAGGCAGACTACTAACTACCTGGCTGACCAATACCCATAGGGACATGAAGGAGTTGGGAATGTCAAATGACGATGCTTACCAGCGAAATGTATGGCGCCATGGATGAAGAAGAAGACTAAAAAGCTAAATAACTTGAATTATTTAAATACATACATAGGACATTTTACTATACAATGGAATAATAATTTGTCTAAAGTATATTCAGAATATAATTACGTTTCGTTGAAGGTATTTTTAGAAACTGTGTTTAAAAGAAGTAAAGATTACTCTTCTGCTTCGAAATACCCTAAAGGTGTGTCAAAAAGACGGACAAAAGGGTATTGTGTCGTTGTAAAGACCGCTCAGTTCCTCTAACAATATTCAGTTAACGCGCCGGTACAAGAAACTGGGGAAAATTCGTTTTAAAACTCGTGTCTCGAAAGTTTACAAAAGCTGTATCGTCTTTTGTGGGACTGTTTGGCTGTGAGTCATTATATTTTTCGTTATTGCATCAGTTAATGAGGTAGATGCAATTTGTGTCTGTATATTTGTTATTGATGTAACGATATCTTCAGGACAGCTGAGTGATCAGAGGTATTTATATATAATCGTAAAGTTTTTAAAGATAATTGCCAACTTTTGACGTCTTAATGAAAGCTATATCTAACATGAGATTTTGCTAGGTATGTTTGAAGTCAAGGTGGCAAAGAGCGAGACAGTGACTCGGATAGATTTTAGTTTGTTATCGGTGTTTCCGTCATCGAATGTTCAGTTAGACTTGTAAATTGGCTCGCAAAATTTTTGACGTTGCCCAAATTCATACTCTTTTAGGTCTGTGTTGTAGAATTAGGTCACCATGTAAATAGCTTACGTATGTTCATTATTTAAAATTACTGGATAAAGAAGAATAATTTAAACTTTTACCTTTCTTCTCAACATCTTATTACTGAGATGATTAAGCCGTCAATTTCGAAAGTCGATTTCCACAAACTAAAGTCGCAATTTCCGCATCCACGGTTCCGACCGCCCACAGAACGGAAGCTTCTTCAGAAACGGAATCTATTTTGAGGATTATGTTTATCGCATCAATTAGGTTTGTGGAGATAAAAAGACAGCGTAAAATGTTGTAGTTATCTGTGCCAAAAGTCTACACGATATAACTCTACAACTGACAACGAGAATGAGGAGAATCTTATATTATAGTTACAACGTTGTAACTAAATTATTAAGAGAAGGTGTAGAATCTAGATCCAAATTAGACTCTAGATGGATGGAAATAATGATCCTATACCTATTCCAAATTTTTGCTCCGATTCGAACGTAAAAATCCGAGAATCCACTTGAGTATACAAATTAACGTGCGAAATGTGCTAGAATGTTCCAAATAAAAAGGTTGCGTTCTCAATTTAAAGATAAAGATAAAGATTTTTTAAAACAATCATAAAAAGTTACAATTGATCTTTCAATTTAAAAAGCAACGCAATTATATAAATGCCTATTGTCCCTTTAGGGGGAATAATATTTTCTCATTGTGTCCCGTCAATCGCAAAGTAAAAGTAAAAAGTCGGTAAGCCCTATTGTAGCATCCATTAAATTCTCCAGCCGCAAACCGTGACAGAAATGGAAAAGTTCCAGTTAAGTGCCAAATGTTGATGCGCTCTGCATAAATTTGCACTTTTTCACATTGGCCACAGCAATAATTCAGATATCGTTGACCAACGTAAATTGAGCTTTATGCTTCCACTCCACTATAATGTATAGTTGTATTGTTCTTTACACACGTCGTTTCCAATTAAACACTTGGTTTTGTAATTGCGTTTGATAGTATACTGAGTTTTATGGTTTGGAGTGACAAATAATATAGTTCTTAAATTATAAAAATAATACCCCTAGATAATTCACAGAACGTCATCTAGTCCCAAGGTAAGCTGAGCTTGTGTTATAGGAACTAGACGATTGATATAAATATGTATATATAGACATGTTTGAAAGACATTGTAAATTCATACGTAATACACATAGAAAGCACCCAGGCCGATACAAACCCGCAACCATCGGAAATCATGTGCTGTTCTAAACCTCTAGCCCACCGAGGCAGTCAAATTTATAAAATAACCTTTCTTTTTTGTCAGTTATATTAATTCAATAACATTATAAAGTATCTGTGTTCACTGGTCACAAAATGTTCCTCTGTGAATAGTGTAATAATTCATGCAGATTCCGAATGCAATGGCCATTGGGATGAGACAAAGGGAATTAGATTAATATTCGTACGACTACCGATCGGTATGCGCTGCGGGAAAACATTGCTCGAGGAAGATACTCGCGCTTCAAATGTTCAACGAATTCCAGATATTAACAATTCTGTTCGAAACAAATTTCGCAAAGGAAGGATTAAAATAAAATATTCAAATTTAAATAATAACTATGGAAATCTGTAACCATAAAGACTTCATTGTAGAAAACGACAGAGTCAGGTTTAGGATCGGCAACGCGCATTT